GTGCAGAATTCAGGGTGTGACTCCAAGGCGCGTGCTTGGACTTTGCTGCCACAGAGATGATTTATTCCTTAGCTACAGGAAAAGTGCCATTGCCCTGCAGGAAGCCATGGAGCGTGCGTGGAAAGATGGAAAAGACCTTGGTATCTGTTCAGGCCCAACAGGGTTTCAGGTTTCTTACCCGTTACTGCAGTCCCAAGATTGTGCTGTTTGTGGATTTTTAATGTTGGAAGAGGTGTTTTGGAGTCACTTCCTTTTCTGAGGATTTTACAAAGCAGGAAGTGCAAATATTTAAGTTCTTGTCTCTTAAAATTTACCACATTTCAACAGAATTCCAGATGAAGTTAGGCAGTATTCCTGAATCCCTCAGGCTACAGTTATATCTCTGCATCTTTCAATGAGTACCTCCCTACACCATGCAGACCGTGTTTGGTGCTATAGTTAATCATACAGAGAAAGTATCAAACCTTTTAAGAAGATCATCAAATTCACTCATGGAAAGATTTCCATTAACAAAAGAGACCTTTAGCTCTGGCTTGAGGACCATACAGATGTTTCTATTGCAAACTGCGTATCTCTAAAGGTAGCATGGAGCTGCACGGCCAAGGGGATGCTCCTGTACCTTAGATAATGTATTGTCACTAGCAAGAACTATGATGAAAGACAGACCCAAGGATTTTACTGTGTAAACTGGGGTGCTGTCATCATAACATGACAAATAGCTGAAACATTCATTCTATTCAGGAACCAAGCAACTGCTAAAAGAGTCCCAGATCAAGAGTTAGAGTTCAAAAGGCAAAGATAAATGAATAAACATGTACCAGGAGTTTGCAGCGTTATAACTTACACATTTTATTGTCTTTCATGACTAATTGGAGATTAAGCAAGAAAAAGCATGATACATCAACAGCATTAAACATCCCACACACCAAGAGGAAAATGAAAAGCAGGACTCGTGCTTACAAACAAAAATCACACTGATCAGTGGATAACAATCTCAAAGCATATTTGCAAGTGTTCAGTGATTAAAGGCAGGAAAAGGAGAGATTATCTACGGTCTCTAAGCAAAGGAGGAAGAACGTTCAAGGCCATATCCATATCCAAATGAGCCAGGAGGGAAGCAGCAGCAGCAGAGCGCTGCCTTCCCTTTGCAGAGTGGGTTTAGTTTCCACAGCAGCCACTGCTGCTACCGCAGCAGCCACTATTGTTGCTCATGGTGTAGCAGCAGGTCTGCATGGGCATGCAGCAAGTGGTGGGGTAGCAGCACTGCATGGGCTGGCAGCACATTGGTCTCTTGCAGCACTTCGGGCTGCTGTAGCAGCACACGGTGTAGTTATTATTGCTACCGCAGCATCCGCAGCCTCCGTTGGGCATGTTGTTGGTAGTCTTGTAGGCAAAGCTGGAAGGAACAGAGAGAATCTGTCTGTGACTGGGAGCAGGATATTTGGGCCTACAGAATTCATTCAAAACTCAGGTTATTCTGAATTCAGAGATTCAATGAGCTGAAATCTAGTCATGTCTTTTTTTTGTAGTAAATCTTGCTCATAACTGTCTTTTTCCTGCAATGTAGATGCCCACCTACTCATGCCAGGGCACAGAATGATGGAATCATAGAATAGTTTGGGTTGGAAAGGACCTTAAGATCATCCAGTTCCAACCCCCCTCCCATTGACGGGGACATCACACACTAAGCCATGTCACCCGAGACTCCATCCAACCTGGCCTTGAACACTGCTAGGGATGGAGCATTCACAACTTCCCTGGGCAACCTGTTCCAGTGCTTCCCCACCTTCCAGTAAAGAACTTATTCCTTATAATGTCCTAGCAAGAACCACAGCCAAGGTCCCCTGGTTGTGCATGGCCCTGCTTATTCTCCCGTAACCTCTCCATCCTTCATCGTACCCATGATTCGTAGTATACAGTTCATAAGAGCCCAGCTTCAAAGCCCCATCCCAGACACCCTGTCATATTTAGATACTGTTATAAGATATCAAAGCATTTTTCTTTTAGGAAAGGAAGGAAGATTTAGATGTTCTCACTTACCCTTCTGGAGAGTGAGGAGAGGTGAATGAAAGAGAAGATGAGCGAATGAAGCGAGCTGGGCCAGGAGACCTTTTATAGTCCTCGACACCTTCCTCCTGGAAGTGAGACAGCCATTGGACATTTGAACTTCCCTGTTTACTAACCCAAACCCATACTTTTTAGCTTTACGTGTCTCCTGGTATTTACTCTTTGCCTTATTATTTGTGATCACTACCTTTGTTTTGCCTCATAATTGTTTAGCCTGCAGATAATCAAAGGGCTGCTATGAATAGTAATGAATTTGTCTTCTCTGCAATCTTGCAAGGGAGCCAAAAAATGTGTCCTTGTATCTGCTTGACAAATGCAGACAGTGACGGCCGAAGATGCTAAGGGACTTACTCAGCAGCGGCTTGGTGCTGAATCAGTGGCAGAGCCGAAACTGAATCCCTGGGATGTGTCTTTCGGGCACGTGAGAGGCTGTTTCATTGGAATGGTGTTTGAAACAAATATTTGGCAGATTTTGTGAAAATGGGTATTTTCCATCCCAGTCACAGGATGTGAATGTGAGGAGGGAGCGAGAAGACCATGTGTTTCAGATGTGTTGGGAGTCACACCAGCTCCTGGGTCGCAGTCACCTGCACGTGCCTGCATGCAAGATTATCTATCCATCATGCATGCGAGGAGCATCTTTGTGATGCCAAAGCCATCTTTGCCTTTTGGCTTGCCTTAACTTTTGCAAACCCTTCCAACCTGGGGAGTTTAGGTTTGCATGTGGGCACCCCTAGTGCAGGAGCATTCCAGTTCCTGCTCTGCTTTGCTGGGACTGCTTCCCTAAAAACGTGTTCTGGAATTCTGAATTGAATATTCACTTCAGCATCCTTTGCATTTCAATTGAAAAAGAAGGGGCAGCACTGCCTGTGCAAACGGCAATGCAAGGAACCATAGCTCTGGGACTGGGGCATTGCAAGTCAACATGTCCCCCCTGCAACCTCCCCTTATATACAGCTGAAATCTCCTTGTGTGCTGGAGCCCTGGCATCCAGCAGCACCTGCCCTGCCCAGCTCCTCTGCAAGGAGCTGGAGGTTGTGCAGGACTCTGTGTTGGAGGTGGTAGAAGAAGGAGCCCAGCTTGGCCCAAAAGAGGGAGAGGAATGTGGAGGTGGAACAGATGTGACAAGCACAGAGAACTGGTTCTAACTGGGGTCATGCAGCTACGTGGGTGGCGGGGACTCAGAAGTGACGCAGGAAGAGACCTGGCTGAGGTGGAACCATTTACTTGGAGGGAGAGAAAGAGGAAGGTCAATGTAAGGCAGAGCTTTGGGCAGCTGAGCCAGGGTGGATGAATGCTTGTTTGATGCCAGCCACTGCCTCCAATGCACTTTGCTGTGGGGCTGAATGCTGGCAGGAACACTAAGGGTATTTGGGTGGAATTTTTTGCATGGCCTACAATTGCAGCTCTCATTTGAAGACCTTGATACATTATCCTGAGAGGAGTGCTGCCTAATGAGAGGACGGTGGAGCCTGCCTGGCGAGTTCCCTGTCTGCTGCCTGACATCCTCTGGGATTCCTGGGATGCTCCCATGGGGGTTCTCCTAGATGAGCTACTGCCAGCCCTGAGGACGTTAGGAGAGCCTTGGTTTGCTTTCTGCACAGTGCAAGGCAGAGCAGATGGTGATTTTAGTGCTGCAGTAAATGCAGCCAGCTTCTTCCTAGGCTTTCCTGGAATGAGAGCAATTCCTTGAACGAGATGCTGGAGAAGCAGCACACATAATTGCAACTTATCCAGACAGGGCAGAAGAACATGCATGGCATTTCCTTTCCTCAGAGGTGCCCTGTCAGGATGCACGCCTGCCCATGAAAACTGAACAGGTTACAAGGAATTAATGGAGCAGAATCAAAGGGACACACCTTCACTTGTGCCTCCAGAAGGGAATTTCTCACTGGGAAACCCTGAAACTGCAAGAAGAAGTGATGGTTTAGATGGGCATTTCCCACCCATGATATCTGTGTTCAGCCACTCATGTAACCTTGGGATTTGAATGGTCTTTGGCAAGTGGACTGTGGATCTTCATGCAAAAAAGGGACTGAACTGAGATGGAAACAGGGTCAGTAAAAGGCATTAGGCACAGAATGAAGGCTGTGGTGCAGATCTTGCACACTGTTCTGGCACAACCCTTACTGACCCAGCGCCTCCTTGAAGACAATGGAGGTTTTTCACCATTTCTCTAATGCCTGGTAACCCAGATATTCTAGCAGAGGCAAGACTTCCATCCCATAAATTTATAGGGACTGTCTATAGGTTCAACCACCTATTTGAAATACGTGGAACTTTTCTAGCTGGGATGACCCTTGTCAAACTATTTCAGAAGGAATTCACAGCCCTCAGAAGTTTATGTATTATGTTCTTCCTACTTCTTTGTAGTTTTACAGAGAGAGGAGAGATATTGCTCATAGAGATGCCGCACACTCAGCTTGTGTTTGAATAGACCCATGCAGAAACTCAGAACTGCATTTGGGGTGCACTGGTTTTCTTTGTGTAGGCAAACTCCCTTAGCATCTTTAGGACAGGAACATAGGAGCACTGGGAAGCAAAGCGAAGGAAAGGTGATGGGTGCAGTGCTGCACTCTGGATTCACCAGCTAGCAAACAGATAACCACCAAGGAACTTAGCAGGCTCATGAACTACAGATTTTATTGGTTTTCAGACAGATTGAAACAAAACAGTGAGGAAAATACTTAAACAACCCACACACCAAGAGTAAAACGAACAGCAGGACTCATGCTTGCAAACAAAAATCATACTGACAGCAACTTCAAAGCACATTTACACGGGTTTGGTGATTAAAGGCAGGAAAAGAAGAGGAGAGATTATCTACAGTTTCTAAGCAAAGGAGGAAGAACGTTCAAGGCCATATCCATATCCAAATGAGCCAGGAGGGAAGCATCAGCAGCAAAGCGTTGCTTGTCCATTGCCAAGTGGGTTTAGTTTCCACAGCAGCCACTGCTGCTACCGCAGCAGCCACTGTTGTTGCTCATGGTGTAGCAGCAGGTCTGCATGGGCATGCAGCAAGTGGTGGGGCAGCAGCACTGCATTGGCTGGCAGCACTGCATGGGCTGGCAGCACTGCATGGGCTGGCAGCACATTGGTGTCTTGCAGCATGACTTCTTGGTGCTGTAGCAGCACACGGTGCAGTTATTACTTCCACCGCAGCATCCGCAGCCTCCGTTGGGCATGTTGTTGGTAGTCTTGTAGGCAAAGCTGGAAAGAATAGAGAGAAGGTCTTTTTTACTGCCTGAATCTCCCTGTTTAGGCAGCTTAAAGCACCCTTATCCCAAAGCCCCTCCCGAAGTGGCTGGAGGAGTCCCTAGTGTGCAGAATCCCATGTCAAACTGTCCTTGAGATCTCCACATTTTTGCATGGACATCTCTGCCTTTTGCATGTTGTCCAGCATTGGTTCCATCAGAAAGAAGCCACCCAGCTGGATCCCCAAAATAGTCTCTCAAAACCAAACAGGACAGGAAAACCTGGGTGGCTTCTTGCAGGAGCATGTGGAAATATGGTAGAGTGCAAATGAAGAGGCAAGTAGTAAGCTCTGACTTACCCTATTGACCAGTGAGGACAAGAAAGGAGTAGTCAAGATGAGATTATGAAGACCACTGTGATGGGGAGCCTTTTATATGCTTCCAAGCCATCCCCCCTGGAAATGAGGCATTCTTTGGCAATTCCAACTCCCCCACATATCACCCAACCTATGCCACTCACATGTCTTCTGGTATTTAATCTTTACCTCTTTCTGCTTGCTCACCACTTCAATTCCGCACCGTAATTAGACTCACATGTGAACAAGAGTGGAAACATTCTAATGAATTTGCATTAATGGGATCTAGAGGTAGCTCTAAGGTATTCCCATCCGCTTCCCAAGGAATGAGCCTGAGATGCAGGGACAATGCGCATGTGGGAATCAGGTGCTGAAGCAGTGGGAGAACCATGCCTGGAACTTGGAAATGTCACCCCTGGTGTGCTCCCTCTGTGCTTGGCTGGGATTTTAATGGACCAGTGGAAACTACTGATCAATGTGAATTCTGTTTTCCTGCCTCTGTGTGGTTAAAGTTAAGACTGAAGGGTTTCTCCTTTCTCAGCCTTGTTCTTGGGTTTCCCTTCATGGTGCTTTTTATTTCTGCTAAGCCTTGCCATGAAAGGAATGGATTAAGTCTAAATTAAGCAGCTTTCAAAGCAGAGTGCATGTCAGCTTTTGTCTGTGTTGCTTCCATATACTCCATATTCTGAGGTCATTTCTAAGGCCTGTGAGACTGAGACACCTTGTGTTTCATGGTATTTACGATGATCACATTTAAGTGTTTCACACTTACAACTAGATTCTCTATCATTGTAGGCAAGCGTGGGGTTCCAGACTGGAAATGAAACCTGAGTGCATTTCTTCATCGCTTTTCCCCGTACCTTGGGACCCCAGCTAGAATCTCTCAGATGGTCTGAGTTTTGCAGCAATTGCTTCTAGTTGTTTTAGATGCAGTGAACCAAGCCCTAGGCGGCTCTGCATGCAAAGTTTGGATGAACAATCAGGAGGGAATGATGAGATGGTTGGAGTCAAGGCAGATATTACAAGGCTTGGGAATGGGGGAAGGAACTGTGGCCATGTGCAGAGCCAGCACATCTCCGCATAAGAAGGTGATGATGGAGTCTTCATGTGATGAGAGGGGGCACCAATGTTAGAGTCCTAACATACTTGATATTTACGGCAAATAGAGACTTCCATCCTGTTTAGCTGACTCTGAATGTGAGGCTGGAGTGGTGACAGATGACTCCTCATGGCTGGGACATACAGAATCTTTCCAAGATGCAAACATGACCTCTTCTGACGCTCTGGAATTGTCCCTAGGGGAGCATTGTTTCGGTCACACCATATTAGCTGTATACTTGCCTGAAGGAAATGATGTCCTCTTTGTGTAAACCCTTAAACTTGTCATCCATGGAATAAGTCGTCAATTGTCTTTTAATCAGGTTTTATTGTCACCATATTGGCCAAGGTGATCCTTCTGTTAGAATTATAAAACCATAGAATGGTTTGGTTTGGACAATACCTTCAAAGCTCACCCAGTTCCTACCAGGAGCAGGGACACCTTCCACTAGACCAGCTTGCTCAGAGCCCTGCACAACCTGACCTTGAATATTTCCATAGTTGAGGCATCTACCAACTCTCTGAGCAGCCTGTTCCAGTGTTTCACCACCCTAGGAGTAAACCATCCTTCTATCTAGTCTGAATCTACCCTCCTTCAGTTTCAAACCATCATCACTTTGACATGCCATGCCAAGATATCTTTGTAGATTTCCATGGTCGTTCCATGCATCTGAGAGCTTTATAAATGGGGATGAATCCATCACAGCAGCTTTTCCAGCATATGATTGCCATAACAGAATGCGCTTCTGGTATAATATGGAATAGGATCTCCTTCTGCCAGTGGAATTTACCTATTAATAAAAAAACTCCTCAAAACCTAAGTTTATGGAAGAGTCTAACATGGGAGAGAAGACTATTCTAATGCAGACTCTGAAGATCTGGTTGAGGGAAGCAATCAAGACAGTGCTCAAGGCATTTTCCTGAGCCGTGCAATTCAGAGCTGAGTCCTGAATTTTAATAGTAAAGGAAGTCCCAGCCAGGTACAAAAGGTCTCGTTGACTCATGTGTGTGCTATTTTAGGAATGAAGCTTTTAAGTTGTATGCTAAACCCTGGGTGTCGTTCCAACTGCTTGGAATCCAGGAATGCCGCTTATGAAAGTCTCTGTTCACACAGAAATAATTAAACAACATAAAGTGTTTTCTGAAATCTATTAGTTTGAAAATGGAAGTGGAAGAAGATGGTGCCTGCTCTTCAGTGAGTAGTGAGTTCCTCCCAGTACCTAGCAGAGTACCTGTTGCACATCATGAGTTTCTCATACATCTCATGGAGTGGTGTGTCTTCAGATGGTGGGGTTCTGCAAGCTTCATTCCAACTGTGCCCTTTGAGTTTTATTTACCTTAACCATTAAGTTCTAGGGTAAAAATCGAGCTGAGGCAGATGATCAGTAGGTGGAAAGAGGGATCATCACCAACGATGATCCAATTTATGCCTACAGCAGTGCTGGACAGCTCTTTGTTTCCTAAATGTTCTGCTGTGCCATGGGAGCATTTCTGTAGCCAGTAGGAGCCTGGCTGAAGACACAGGAACAGCAGCAGAATGGGGACATGTTCTGAGCAAAGTGATGTAAAAACAACCAAAGCAAGATTTTGTGTTTTGCTCAATGCTAACTTTTATTGTCTACAAATCAAGAGAGGGAATGAAGAATGATAACACTAACAGCACAGATAGCCCAAGTCCCATACACCAAGAAGAGAATTAACAGCCCCACTAATATCTAACAGTGTTTCTGCTTCACACGATGAGTGATGTATTCAAGTGCATTGCAGATGTTCAATAATGAAAAGGCAGAAAGAAGGCAGCTCAAGTTTGAACACAAAAAGAAAATCACAAGGTGTTTACTCCATCGTCATGTGAACCAGGAGCAAATGAGCAGGTTTTCCTCTCCCTGTGCCTGTTCTTGTTGTGTGCTACACACGGGAGCCAGCAGAGCTGCTTTTACTACCCAGAGTTGGCTCAGCGAAGCCTCTTGATTGTGGTACAACACTGCTGGATGGGAATGCTATATTTCCTCAGGGGAGAGCAGCACGGCACAGGGCTGCAATGCAGCACAATGGGCTTCTTCACAGTGTAGGAGCAGCAAGACAGACACGCAGCAGGGCAGCAAGGGCGGCAGGTACAGCAGCAGGGTACCTGGCCACAGCAACAGCAGGGCTTCTGGCACACCTTGGTATCACAGACGGACTGCTGGCATGGGTCACAGCAGACAGACTGCTGGCATGGGTCACAGCAGGTAGACTGTTGGCATGGGTCACAGCAGACAGACTGTTGGCATGGGTCACAGCAGGTAGACTGTTGGCATGGGTCACAGCAGGGCTTCTGGCATGGGTCACAGCAGACAGACTGCTGGCATGGGTCACAGCAGGTAGACTGTTGGCATGGGTCACAGCAGGGCTTCTGGCATGGGTCACAGCAGGGCTTCTGGCATGGATCACAGCAGACAGACTGCTGGCATGGGTCACAACAGGGCTTCTGGCATGGGTCACAACAGGGCTTCTGGCATGGATCACAGCAGACAGACTGCTGGCATGGGTCACAGCAGGGCTTCTGGCATGGGTCACAGCAGACAGACTGCTGGCATGGGTCACAACAGGGCTTCTGGCATGGGTCACAGCAGACAGACTGCTGGCATGGGTCACAACAGGGCTTCTGGCATGGGTCACAGCATGGCTTCTGGCATGGGTCACAGCAGACAGACTGCTGGCATGGGTCACAGCAGGGCTTCTGGCATGGGTCACAGCAGACAGTCTGCTGGCATGGGTCACAGCATGGCTTCTGGCATGGGTCACAGCAGACAGTCTGCTGGCATGGGTCACAGCATGGCTTCTGGCATGGGTCACAGCAGACAGACTGCTGGCATGGGTCACAGCAGGGCTTCTGGCATGGGTCACAGCAGACAGACTGCTGGCATGGGTCACAGCATGGCTTCTGGCATGGGTCACAGCAGCATGGTTCACAGCAAACGGTCTTCTGGCATGGGTCGCAGCAGACGGTCTTCTGGCATGGGCCGCAGGAGCAGGACTGCTGGCATGGGCTGCAACAGATGGTCTTCTGGCATGGCTGGCAGCAGCACACAGCCTTGCTCTTCACAACGGAGCAGCATCCGCATCTGCAACAACGCATGTTGTTTGTAGAGTGGTCAAGGCTGGGAGGAGCGAGGACCTGAAACACAGAGTACTTTCAGATACAACTTCTTCCCAAGTACATAGAGGTGTGCTTTGTTTTGACGTTCACATGCTGCTAGGTTCAATGGTAGTAACCACATCATACACTGCGCCCAACTTATTTGCTTTGATTTCCATCCCAAGAGGCTTATTTTCCACTTTGCTTTACCAACTGTCTTCTGCAATAAGCAGTAGACCAACAGGCTTGGAAAGCCTGCATTTCAGAGAGAGCTTTAGCTCACGGAATGATAGAGTAGTTTGGTTTGGAGGAGACCTTTAAAGGTCCTTTAGTCCAACAACCCACAAAGATCAGAATCAGACACATTTCAATTCATTGCTTGACCAAAAGCAAATGAGAACCATTTCCATCAAAGAACACCGCTAATGGGTAACACTTACCGTGCTAACTGAGTGGTGCAGTTGAGTGAGGAGCAAAGGGATGGGGAGACCTTTTATTTAGCTCCAAATTGTCCTTCCGGAAATGAGGTACCCCACAGCAATTCGTGATTTATGTGTTAAACCTATACTTATTTGTTGAATGGGCCTTCATCTATTTAGTCTTTGCCTCATTATTTCTGACCAACCCATCCATTCTGAGTTATTATCTATTTGTTCTGTAAATTTTTTACAGTTTTTTAATGTCAAGTTAAATGGCAGTGTCAATTGCAGATTGACATCTTGTGTGATGCTTGTGAACTGCATAAAAGGCATGTTTCTGCTCATTTTGCATATGGTAATGCGGTTACATTGAGATGCTAGGTGGCTTGTTCAGAGCTAGTGAGTCCTCAATTAACATAAAATCCATAATTAAGATTGAGGAGCAGTCAGTTCCATGGACGTGCAGAGGCCTTCTGGACGTCAGGCACTTCTCAATATGCTTTTTTTTAATTAAAACAGAATTCCAGAGAGTGTAATTCCATGCCCCCAGGGTTTGCTTTTGGATGGAGACATGCTAAAGCCCAATGTTGGTCTTTGGAGTCTCTGCTCATCAGAAGGGCATCTATGTGACAGAAAGCACTTGACATAGAATCATAGAATGGCTTGGGTTGGAAAGGACCTGAAGATCATCCAGTTCCACCCCCCTGCCATGGGCAGGGACACCTCACACTAGAGCAGTTTGCCCAAGGCTCTGTCCAATGTGGCCTTGAGCACTGCCAGAGATGGGGCAGGCACAGCTTCTCTGGGCACCCTGTGCCAGTGCCTCAGCACCCTCACAGGGAAGAGCTTCTTCCTTACATCTAACATCATAACCCTTTGTGCCTCATCCCATCCATGCACGGGAAAATGCATGCCCTTGGCCTTGCCAATATCAGAAATATTAGGTGCAAAGGACTGTGCCAATTTATCATGGAAGTTTGGAATAGAATCGGGGTCAAATTGGTGTCTGCGTTTCCCCAGTTCCTTTGGAATATCTTTAAATAAAAGCAAAATGCAAAACTTTTCTGGCAGTTTTACCTCCTGTTTATGTTCAGCATAACTTCATCAGCAAAATTCCGATTCCTTTTTTTCTTTCCAGTTCTATTGTGCCCCCGAGTCATGAAAGATCCACCTATTCCTGTTACGTTTGGAATAACTCTAGGCCCATTGTCATTAGTGCTGATGTTAATGATCACACTGCAATTATTCATTAATGAAGCTGATACTTAGTTTGCGTGAAAGCCTGAAGGCCTCACGTGAAGCCATGAGCACCTTTAGAATTTCCAATTAAACTATGTCTTTACCAAACTACACCTGTCTCCGGTCAGAAGGGACTCATGGGACCCCAGCCCATGACCAATGTGACCAAATGTCTTGTGTCTGAGATCACCCAAAAAGGGAGGGATGCTCCTGCTGCTGTGGGGCTGTGCATCTGTGGGAGCAGAGCACCAAAGGACCCTTGGAACTATCTCCTACAACATACTGCTTCACTGGAGATATCCTGATTTCTGCTGAGGTGAAGGAGAGAAGATTCTGTCTTCATGTAGAAACACGGTGTGATCCATGTCACAGATCCTGAGGGCAAGACAGGACATTGTGAACCTTCCATTGCCTTCCGGTGACATAAAGCATCTGTTTCCACTCAGTCTCTGTTGGGTAGCTACTGTTTCTATTTGACTACATCCCAACGTTGAGAATCATAGAAAGAAACCACGCAGGCTTGCTTTGAGGAATTCAAAAGACCATGAGGTCACCACCACTCCAGGCAAGCTCTTCCCAAGGTCAATATTGCTGTCCACTAAAACACAGGCTTTGTTTCCTACTGAGTTTGGCTTCATGCTAATGACTGGGTTAGGCTGGGTCACTGCCACCTGTTATAATCTAATTAGTGATAGAGATTTACCCCAGCTGAGTACCTGTTTCTCAGCTAACAATAAAGGAGGCTCATGGGAAGCTGGGAGGTGGTTTTTGATCTTGCAGAGGAATGCTAGGAGGCTCTGGTATTAGGAGCATGGAGGATCAGGAGCAGGGAGGTAAAGTAAGAGCTATTGGTCAAAATTAGGCAGTTTTCTGTGTGCTGTTGTAGGGATCTGGTGCACTGATTCACCCAGCGCCTCTCTGAATCAGAGCCCCCTTGCTGCTGCTGGAGCTGACCGTGAACATCAGAGATGCCTGAAGCCATTTGAGATGGATCCATAGACAGATAAGATTTTCCAAGAGCAAAGATTCAAATTTGATCTCAAACAAGATCCCAATTGAATTTTACATTGAGTGAATGAACTTAGCAGGCTCTGTGAGATACCCAGAGTAACACTGCTCTGTTTGTTTGAATTTGAAAACTATGGATGCAGTGAAGCAATCCTTGCTGTAAAACAGCTAAGGCAAATTCCTCCTCATTAATCCTTAGGGGTTTGCTCATGGTTTATCCTGGTTGTGGAAATCTGCTGTTACATTATTTAGCAAGTAGTCAGCAGAGCATAAGTGTTCCTCTAAGCCCTCTAGTGTGTTAGGCATAGAGGATTTCTTCTCTTGCTAAATGTCTATGGGCTCTGATTTGAAAGAAAGTATTCTAATGAGGTAAAACATTCATAAAATCTTTGGTCCTTAATGTTCCAACCTTGCCAAGGTTGACAAATACTTGGAGTGGAATAGAGTAGAAATGAAACAAGCTTTGGTTTTGTTTCCCTGTAATTGCTGCCATATCTCCAAGTTAACAGGAACTTCAAGCTTGAGCACAGCAGAAAGAGCAATGAGTTCAGAAGCTTTTTGCCTTTTGTGGGATTTGGAAAAGGAGGAGGAAATACAGTGGTGTTGTGATTAGTCACAGAGCAGAGTTGGAGGCTTGGGTAGGAAGGGAAAGTGATCTTGAAAACAAAATCACTCCTATGGACAAAAAAACCCTTTCTGACACAATACCTGACTGGAGAGTGAAGAATGAGTAAGGAAAAGAGTTTTTAATGCAGCTGCCATGGGTCACATGCAAATGAGCCATCTCTTAGCAATGGCAGCAACTTGAATGGAGGTGAGTAACTAATTGCTCTCTGCATCCCGTTTGCAACTTTTCCTTTTTAGCTGTTCCTCTATAATGACAATTTTCTCCTTAACCTATAAATAACTAATTCCAATTACTTATATACCAAGTGGTCATTTACAAGGTACTTGCTGCTCAGCCAACTCATTTCCCACGCCTGCCCTCAAATGGATGAATCACGCTGGAGAAACCTGTCATTTTACACTGTAGAAATAGTTTAATTGTTCCAAACCCTGCAGGATTTGCTTTGTTTTGTTTCCAAATATAGCAGCAGCTTTTAAAGATCACCTCTGCAGTGAAAACATGAAGGTGCAGGCCAGGCCCCAAGCTCTAACTCTGAAAACCCCTTTGCTGAGCTCAGTGCAAAGATTTGGTTTCACCAGCAATTAACACATGTTTCTCCTAGCCCTCTGCATGTGTTGCAGCACTCCTGGCATAGCTGGTGGTGCTGCAGGCGTTTTCCTTCACTTTCATGTTTCCTTGGCATTCCTCCTTCTCTAGCTATTTCACCAGTGATTAAAGCATGGCTCCAAAACCACAACGCAAAACCCGATGCCACCAGATAAGGAGATACGATGGAACAGTGACTAAAACTATCCAGAACTGTTAGGTAGGCTTGATATATAATTTTTATTGTCTTGCTGGATATTGAAGCAGCAAAGCAAGAAATAAACTATTTCCAGGGGACAGTGGTCTTTGCTTTGGCAGAAAGATTCAAAGCTCATTAAACTGAGAGACTTATCCTAATACCATGCTACCCTCCAACCCTTTTAAAGGTGTTTGCTTGCAGAGGAGCAAGGGCTTGCAAGTAATGAGCAAGGAGATGAGCTTGAGGTTTTGGGTGAGATCCAATGCTGGGGTTGAATCCTGCTGTTAGTACTTGGGGCATTTCGGTGGCAGGTCACAGATGTTCTTGGTGTACTGGGGACAGTAGCGCTGCACAGGGGGGCAATAACGCTGCACAGGGGGGCAATAACGCTGCACAGGGGGGCAATAACGCTGCACAGGGGGGCAATAGGACTGCACAGGGGTGTAGCAGGGCGTCACGTAAGTGAACTTTTGCACAGGCTGCCTCTGCATGGTGTAATGGCAGGAGGATCCAGAGCTGTGGCAGCCGGAGTGGGATCCATGGCAGCCAGAGCTGGATCCATGGCAGGAGGACTCATAGTCATGGCAGGACCCACGGGAGCACATCTTCCTGGATTATTGGCAAAGCTGTCAAAAGCAAGAGATCCATGTGGTGAGAGGAGCCCCAGATTTGCTTCTTCTATTCCCTCCCTTGGAACTAGAATTATCTTAAGGTCTTTTCAACAAGGTTTTCCAACCAAAACCATGATTCCAACTCATGATTCTTGAGATCCCCAGTGAACTTCTCTTTCTTTTTGCCTGCCTAATCCAGAATGAATCATAGAATCATAGAATAATTATTGCTGGAAAGGACCTTAAGATCATCCAGTTCCAACCCCCCTGCCATGGGCAGGGACACCTCACACTAAACCATGTCACCCAAGGCTCTGTCCAACCTGGCCTTGAACACTGCCAGGGATGGAGCATTCACAACTTCCCTGGGCAACCCATTCCAGTGCCTCACCACCCTTACAGTAAAGAATTTCTTCCTTATATCCAGTCTAAACTTCCCCTGTTTAAGTTTTAACCCATTACCCCTTGTCCTATCACTACAGTCCCTATCCTTCAGATACTGTAAGGGTGCTATGAGATCTCCATGCAACCTTCTCTTCTCCAAGCTGAATGTACCCTCAGTCCTAACTAATCTGCAGGGCTTGCTCTGGCAACTGCTGTGTGAAGTCAAATCCCTTCAAACCAACACAATAAACTCCATGAGCCACTCCCAGATCTCATCACCCTTGTAAACCAGAATGGAGCTCGTGTTGCCTGAGGAACCCTTTGTGTGCCTTTGCTGCACCTTCCCTGGTGATCCCATCCCTCCATCCACGATACCTGCCCCAGAGCACTGCAAAGGTGCCAGGCATTTAGCTAAGTCCCAGCTCCCAAGCTCCATAGAAACCTGTAGTGGAGCATCAACCAAGATAGTAAAATCAGTCTTACCCTCGTCAGATACAAGGAGAAGCGTCTGGAAGCAAAGGTGAGTGACTGAGGAGGACTGCATCGAGTGATCTTTTATAGGGCTCCAAAAGGTTATCTCAGATGTGAGACACCTCTTTGTAATGGCAATTTAATTACTTCCACACTCAATCCTGGCGATGTTTGCACTACCCTATTTTTAGCCTTTCCTCTTTGACGCAACATATATCACCCGATATCTAATTCCTAATGGATTTTTCCATAAGGATTTTGGAAGGCATCTCCTTGCCGTTTCCTGGAGATTAACATTAATCTCATAGGTGTTAATTAGCTTGCGAATGGGCCACTGGGATTGCATCAGTAACTTAAGGTCTTTATATCTCAGAAATGCTGACTCCTGGGGTAGGGCCTACCGTTCTGTGCGGGTGACAGCTCAGGATTGTAATTTACGTGTTGTTGAATGCCAAGAGGAAATGGGATTACGAGCTCCATAACTCATGGGTATGGCATGATGTTGGGAAGTCTGGCGTGATCCCTTTGTTTCCCCAGTATAGCAAAAAAAAAATAAAGTATTTATGATCCTTCGTATGTTCTTTGACCTGGCTGAACTCATCAGGTGGTTCCACGTGTATCAATGGTTATTTAGTACTTCAGATCAGAGAAAAATGCTTGGTGATGAACTCTTTGCAAGGTACGAAGATGGTAAATTTTCCTGTTCCTTGGATTGTCTTTCCCTTCATTAATATGATAGACTTTTTCACCTGATGTCACCTGAAGAAGTGTCTGGAAATCAAAGGATTTAGAGAAATGGAGGATTTGAGCTAAATACTGGGTTCTGTCACTGTCACTAGTGGTGAAATTATGGACACTAAAGATGGATTTGTAATCCAGTTTGACTTGGCCTTTGAAGCATGAGAAAATGAAGCCTATAACTCATCAACTTTGTAAAATGTTACCCATTAGAGTAATTTGCTAACTGCTAAAGAGAAGCGTTCTCTAAAGGACTGGTGTCCTACAGCTTTTCTGCAGGCTAGAGGTGACATAATTGCTTGTGGTGAGTTTTGTGTAGCAAGGTAGGATTGCACAAATTCCTCAGGGACATTTTGTGACTCAGTTGTGTGTCCAAAACCCAATCAGCGAAGCTGGGGCTTGTCTGACACTTCTCCTTTCCTCTGTGCTTTGGCCTCCAGCATCACACCAATGTTCCTCAGAAATCTTTCTACCTTCCCAACAGCCTTCTGAAACCTGGGTTATACCCACTTGAAAACTGTTTCTGAATCAAATTCAGATCTTGCTAAGGAAAACAGCATCTCTAAAGAGTTATCATCCATTGCTTGTGATGCTTTTAGGGGAGTATGTAAGAGAAGTCCAATCTACAGTAATTAAATACCAGTTTCAGGGCAATGTGGTGGCTGATACTTGCTCACTTACATTCAGCATTGTTTGGTTTAGGAGCTCTCCACAATAACACACTGAGCTGTTCAGATCTGTGTCTTACATGAGGTGGACCTTCTGACATTTCTCTGCTCCATATATACTAAGAGTATATAAGTATATATACATGTAAGAGTATATACTACTTAGAAACAACACTGGAATATAAAAAAGAAGTTTGTGACTTATGTTTTCAGAGGTTCAAAAGTAATAAGGGATTTGAAAATCTTTGTATGCCCAAGTTCTGAAGTTGAGCTTGGAGTTTCATATGTTAAGAACATGAGCAACTGTGAACTGCTTATTCCTCTTTCATTTAATGTCTCCAAACCAAAGGAATTTGCATTGAATTGACTTTGTTGTTTTCAAAGTGATGGGACAGAACTCTGTGTAGACCAACTCATTGGCTGGTGTAAGCAGGGGAAGTTTTGTTCTGTTCAGCCCTTTTTAGGTCCATTTCATTTTTTGGTAGTTGAGAACTTTTTCCCTTCTGATGTGTCTGTTTTCTTCCTGAATGAACATGGGAATTGTTGGCCACCAACTACTGGGGCACTTTGAAAATAGGAAGAAATTGGACTAAAGAGCCAGAAAACAAATTAAAAAGCCTAAAGGAAAAAAAAAAAAGAATAAAGAAACTGAAGCACAATACAGGTCTCATGAATTGTAAGATTTATTATTTCCCACACCCAGATGAGTATTTGAACAGAAGTGCATAGCACAGAAAGATTCCCAACAGTAATTATGCCCTGAATAATTAGAAAGGACATTTCCTGAATAATTAGAAAGAATGACACCGTGAATGATAATTAGGGGAACACTTCATCCAGACCAGCAGTGAGGCGCATGACAGAGGCCCAGGGATTTCAGTAAGGATAAGATGATCCATGCCCACAGCATCCGAGGGAGGAGTGAGCTGGTGGGTCCAGGTGCCAAAGCTGGATCCTGCTGTTAGTACTTGGGGCATTTCGGTGGCAGGTCACAGATGTTCTTGGTGTACTGGGGGCAGAAGGGAGCCGCGGGGTAGTAGCGCTGCACCGGGGCGCAATAACGCTGCACAGGGGGGCAATAGGACTGCACAGGGGTGTAGCAGGGCGTCACGTAGGTGAACTTCTGCACAGGCTGCCTCTGGATGGTGTAATGGCAGGAGGATCCTGAGCTGTGGCAGCCGGAGTGGGATCCATGGCAGCCAGAGCTGGATCCATGGCAGGAGGACTCATAGTTGTGGCAGGTCCCGCGGGAGCACATCTTCCTGGAGTATCGGCAAAGCTGTAAGGAAGAGAAAGAGACCATCAAGCTCATACAGCTGCCCCACTGTAACCTTCTTCTTTTTCCTTGGCTCTTTATCCATAGAAATTTTGTTTTCCTCTGTTTTGTAATGTACGGGATAACTTGACTCTAAAATTATCCTGTCTTTCTTTTGGAGATGCTCTATGGTGGTCCAGCTCTGATGGGAATTTCTGTACCAAGAAGCTGCTGTTGACTTTTTAAGTTCAATTTTACTTCTAAAACCACACAGACTTGTCTGAGATCTCTCTCCCTCCATCACCAGCTAGTCTGGGAATTAAATCCTTGCTAGGTCCCAAAGGTTGTCTTTGCAGATCTGGCCCTTCGAGTACTCCTATTTTCCTGTCATCCCATCTGCTGTAAGAAAACCATGGGCACCCTTTTGTAGCTTACATGTACAGCCACCAGTACTAAGAAATTTCCAAGACAAAGGCAAGGTCTAAATGCAGAATTAGCTAGAATTCCTGTGAGCTCCTGCTCCTCAGAGTAGATGAATCTATGTAAGCCAACTTACCCTTTGTTGGAGCAAGCAAGAAGAGAACCGGGTGCTGCTGCTGAATGAAAGAGGAACAGAGGATGTTCAACTTTTATATCTTCCAAGGGGCTCTCGGAAATTATGCATCTCTCGGCAATGCTGACAATTAAGTTGTCACATTCATATTTATCTCCTGTGTCTAGTTTTTTAGTGCTTCCGATTTGACACAGTCAGGAAGAACAATTATGACTTTTTTCTTAACAGGTTAATAAGCAATGAATTTCCCAATCTGCTTTATAAGGGAATTTTGAAGGCAGTTGCATATTTGCGTATGAAAAATGAACCTAACCCTAGAGTTATTAAGTGATTTGTTGTTGGGCAACAGGGATTGCATCAACATTCAATTCGCAAGTGTTGACTCCTAACCCGCATGCTGCCCCTTGGTCCACATGGCAGACTCACATTTTGATTGATATGTGCTTTTTGTGACACAAGGGACTGTAATTATCAGCCACGACTCACATGGACTCTACTTAGAGAGAAGTCCTGTTGACTAGCTCAAGCACACCTAACACCTCAACACCGGAGATGACGCTAGAAGGATGTCCCCAGTTCCATTTCTTCCATTCCATTCCTGAGTCCACCAGCCATCAGCTCTCTTCCCCTTCTGCCACAGTATTATCCTGTTTACATTCCTCCTAGAAGGGCATTTCAAGTCCTAAGCAGGAAGGATTTGTGCTGGGAAGTTATCACCTGTTGGCATCCTGTTTCCAGATCCCAAATTGCTTCAGGCTCCTGTCTTACTTAAGCAGTTTTGTAATTTTTCCTCATTACAGTGTTTTATTATTTACCACCAAGTTTCTCTCACAGTGGCCCAAGATCTGACTTTAAGAAAATGAAATGGGTAATTGTTTTTTCCTGTGACTTTTCCCTAGGTGGTACACTTTGGGAGCACCCCATAGGTCAGTCCTGCTGCAACCAGAACAAGGGGGGGCCTAAATGTTGCTAACGAAGTTCAGAAGGGGAAAGCTACCCTTCTTCAGATGGTCTTCATATCTTTCAGGGTTTATTTTCATGTCATTTTTTGGGGGGGAGGGGACAAATTAACCGCTACTCTGACAACAGTTTTGTATTAAAATTCAGTTTTGTATTCAAATTCCTAATGACGTTAATTCATTATGAATTTGAAAATACATCCTGGAAAACATAGTTTCATGTTCTGGTTGAGGTTCTTTCTTTTTCAAGGCCAAGACTGAGCAAAACCCCAGTCATTTTAAAGTCTTTTAGATCCTTTGTTTAGGTAAATCTCACCTACAGTCTTCTGAAAAGTACTGAGAGTTATACGTAATGAAAGAATGGTTCATCTAGGTTGATAAAATGGTATTTTTGGGGAAGTCTCTTGTGTCATTTCTCCATCATGCAGGTTGCACCTATCCCTTTTGCAGATACTCAGAGTTAATGATGGAAGCTGAAGCTTGTTGTCAAGCTCTTTGTGAAACCGATGCAGAGAAACAGGCCCTGGCGGAAGGAAGCGAGCAATCCTGTTCTAGAACAGATGTCTCAGCTAGATGGGTTGTCAGCTTAGTAGATAAGGATAGTCTTAAGTTATCAAAAGTAGTGAGAAATTTAGCATTTATTTTTAACAGTGTGTGACTTTCATTGAAAACGCTAATTTGAAGTTCAGGGAAGGAAGGGGAAAGGTAGAGAAGAATTTGAGGCACCTATTTGCATTTATTAGACACCTTAAAATGTTTGTAATCCTGAGTCAGAGTGACAAATGAAGTATGAAGAGCTGCTGAAGTAGGGAACTGGGAAGGACAGTCCTAGGCTACACAGGGTACAGATTGGCTCACTGTTTTCTTGTCCATAAATACATTCATCTGCTGCAAAATTGCATCTGGAATGATGGGCTTTCATTCACTTAGAAAATTTGGGATGTGTGCATTTTGTGATAAGTTGGAGAAGAAAAGAATGAGAATTCAGAAGGTAATTCTTGAGTAAAGAGAATAAAATAATCATAACATCTTTCATTTTTTTTCTTGGAAATGAAATTTTATTGTCTCATCATAATGTTTTAGAAGTTGACATATCATGTGTAAGCCACCACCAGCAGAAATTAGTCCCAGTCTTTTGGGAAAGGGCATAGAACAGATATGATTTATGTTTTGAAGGAAATTCTGATCACGGATGAGGTGATCAAGGATACACAGAGAACAAAAAATGGGAAAAGAGAACCAAGGGTTCAAGCTTTAGGCATCAAGAGCATCCAAGTGAAGAGTGAGCCGGTGGGTCCAATGCCAGGGCCGGATCCTGCTGTTAGTACTTGGGGCATTTTGGTGGCAGGTCACACACGTTCTTGGTTAACTGGGAGCAGAAGGGGGCTGGAGGGCAGTAGCGCTGCATGGGGGGGAAACAGGGCTGCACAGGGGGGCAATAGGTCTGCACAGGGGTGTAGCAGGGTGTCACGTAGTTGAACTTCTGCACAGGCTGCCTCTGGAAGGTGTAATGGCAGGAGGATCCTGTGTCATGGCAGGAGGAGTGGGATTCATGGCAGGAGGTTTCATGGCTGTGGCAGGCCCTGCGGGAGCACATCTTTCCAGAGTATTGGCAAAGCTGGAAGGAAGAGAGAATTAGTCACGGTGGTGCAGTGGCCCCAGTCTACATAAGCATACCTGCATTCTCTAGTTTGCTATGGGTTTCCCCATTTTCTTACTAATTCTTAATTCTTCAGTGATAAGAAAGTGATTTCAATGCTGATTAGGTATTTATAATGATGTATATTATGTGCTGATTTACATCCCCCAGTAAAACCATGAGCTTTTACAGCTGCAATTTGCTTTGCAGAGAAAAACTACTCAAACCATCCATTTCCCATAAGCAACCTCAGGCCCTTCAGTGTCTTCCACTCAAAAACTTCAAAGCCTCTTTTCCATAAAGTCCTCTCTCTGTATTTTCCAATCTTTCTGTTGCTTTGGTTCATCTTGAGCCTCATCCTGCTCACCCTATATCCCACTTGTCATTTGAGTGAATAGAACAACTTTTGTGAGTAACAAGAGCTTGGTCTCTGGCATGACTGAAGTCAAGACGTGAGGAATATCATACTCCAACTCTACTAAACCTTGTACAGAAGTATCTGGTTTCATAAAGAAACTCAAGAGAAACAGAAAATTGGACTTACCCCTTCAGCAACAGGAACGAATGTGTTTAGGAGCAAAGAAGCGAATGAAGGAAACTGGGATGAGAAACCTTTTATACTCTTCCAAAGGTTTATCTGGGACATGAGACATCTCTTGGCAAGTGTAACCTAATTACATATCCCAACCCATTTCTATCCCCTGTATTCAGCTTCCCACATTTTCCCTTTGATGCACTGTACTTTTAGCATTGTAATTGTCCCATAGGATATTAATAGCACTCTAATTCCTTTGCCTCCCTATGAAAGATATTGGAAGGTATTTCACACAAAGTGACGCCAGTACCAAAGAAACTACTGGATCCGGTCACGGGCAGCAAGTATCAAGTGGAAGAGATGTTTGTAATTCAGAAGAACCATTTCCTCAAGCAGTGCCAGGATGTCACATGGACTGAGAGGTAAACGTGATCACACCTCCATGTGAAAGAAAAACCATTGCTAATGTTAACACATGGGGATTATGTTTAGGGCAGGAATACTTCTGAATTGCCTAATGGTACAGGATATTCTAATGAGAGATCCAGCATTATTCCATCTATGTCTTCACTAATAATTTCAACCTGTCTGCATGGTGTGTCCTATCAAAGATTTCTCTTAGTCTTGTGTTGACCTGTCATAACATAAGAAGGACATGGAACTGCTGGAGCAAGTCCAGAGGAGGCCACAAGGACCATCAGGGGCTGGAGGATCTCCCATAGAAAGACAGGCTGAGAATATTGGGGCTGTGCAGCCTGGAGAAGAGAGGCTGCATGGAGACCTCCGATTAGCGTCCAGTGTCTGAATGGCGCTACAAGGATGCTGGAGAGGGACTCTTCATTGAGGACTGTAACAATAGGACAAGGGGTGATGGGTTCAGACCAAAACAGGGGAAGTTCAGGTTAAATGTAAGGAAGTTGTTCCTTGTGAGGGTGCTGAGGCACTGGTACAGGCTGCCCAGAGAAGTGATAAATTCTCCACCCCTGGCAGTGTTCAAGGCCAGGCTGGATGGGGCATGGAGCAACCTGGTCTATTGTGAGGTATCCCTGCCCATGTCAGGGGGGTGGAACTAGATGAACGTAAGGTTCTTTCCAACTCAAACCATTCTATGACCCTGGCTGGTCATATTTATTATGGAAAAGTGCATTGGACAGGGCTGTAGCTCAAGAAAATATAAACCAAACTGTGTAATCTGGTAGAGGTAGATGCTTCTGAGCCTGGATTTTCCTGTGAATCATGGATGAACACTGGTCTTCCTCTCCGTGCCTATGTACAGGTCATGCCCATCTAACCCAGCAATTACACTTTCTTGTCCCATAAAAGGCAAGAATGTGTCAACACCAGGATGGCATTGTGGATTAGACTTCAGGCACAACTGATTTTGGGTGATGCTCTCCTGACTCACTGGGATCCCTCAAACATGTCCATTCACCTCCATGTTTCAGTATCACAATGTACAGAATGAACCCATAAATATCTTGCTGTAAAGTTTTATTTCGGCTGTAGTTCGGCAACACCTTTAGAAACCTTTGATCTTGTATGGAGTAAATCTGTTGTCATGAAAGAAAGAAGATAGTAAAAATACAAAAGTACATCAGACGTGGATACTGGCAACTAAAGGCACAAACAAACCTGGCTGTGGTCAGGGGAGAGCAAAGACCCAATTCTCTAGGAGCGCATCACTGCTGAAGCCTCCAGCTTTATAAATTTCCCCTGTTTCAGGCCATTCCCTTCAGTTTGACTTTACTTCTCCTATTGCTCTCCTGTTCTTGACTAAGGTACGTGATTTGACTGATCATCCAGGGCATTTATGAAAGCTTATCTGTAGACTATAGCTCTGTATTTACCCACTTGACTTGGCTCTGCCTAAAACTGCTTGTTTGTTGTGCAGAGTGCAAGAAAGAAATACTTTCTATCGAGTATTTCTGATATTTCATTGATAAACAGAACAATAGAAATTAGGTTTTTGGAATAAATATCAAACTTGCAGGAAAAATATGATAGTATCTATATGTCATTCAGAAGATATGTTACAGACAATGATAAAATGGGCGGGGATGGTGGAAAAAGTACAAAGCTTCTATAAGTAAGTCCTCTATTTTTGGTTGGCCCTGCTTATCTTGAAGTGCATAGCATCACTATAAAGGGACCATAGAATCATAGAATGGTTTGGGTTGGAAAGGACCCTAAGATCATCTAGTTCCAACCCCCCAGAATTCCTAAATATAAAAAAAATGCATTAAAAATACAAAATAATTGCATAAAAAGATATTGTCTTGCTTCCACCGCAGAGCTACCTTTCCACCACCCAAAATGGCATGCTCTTCTGGGAGGGAATCCTTCTTCAACTTGAATTCAACCTGGTATGACCCAGCAGGCTCCTGGCTGGACACTCGGCGCACACCTCTCCTCTATGCCTACGGCTGTGGCTGTGCCCGTGGCAGAGACTTGTGCCTGGGTGGCCATGACTACCGGCACTATGGCTACTACTGCTCAGTCTGCTCTGAGCCAGCACGGTGCCAGGGAAATGGGTGCTCTCACTGTGCTGGGGAGCTGGTGAGCAACTGTGAGGAGTGCGGGGCATGCCATAGCTATGGGGTGTGCTCAGAGGAGTGTTGTGGGGGATGCTGCAATTAATAGGAGACCAGGGTGTGAGGGACCTTGGCATGGTCTTGGAATCTCACACATTGCTGTATTCAGCCACGATGATGTGTAGAAGCTTATCGCTTGTTTAGGGCTGAGAAAGGTGCTTAGCACATGAAGTCCTTTTGCTTCTCTCTTTTCTCACGTTTGCCTTGGGTTTATCATGCTTTTTGTGCCTGTTTCTTTCCCAGTCTTCCCCTGCTGACTTGATAGAGAAAATCTCCTCTGTCTTCATGGCAGGGGGAAGGGGAGGGACAATTTCCTGCTGAATTTATGCAATCTGCTTTCCTGCTTCACTTCCCAGATGTGTGTGCTGAGATAACAAAACTCCAGCTCACAGGTTTGCTGTCTCTCTTCCTCAGGCTCTTTCTAAGTCTCTCCTTAAAGGAATGACACAACCTGAAGTGCTTCAGCCTGGCCAAGAGCGTAGGTGGAAAGTTGGACTGCTTAGAAAGAATTAAGATAGGAGATTTTATCTCCCCTTCCCCTAAACATTCTCAGTCAGACTCAAAGCCAGCCCGGAGCCTTGTGTCTGGCTTGGTTTCAACCTCCCATTTGGCACAGGATGAGTTTGGCCCTGGCAGAGGGGTACCTGGGTGTTTGGAGGGACAGGGACCGTCGATGGCATCACACAACGACTTCATGCACAGTCACTCTGACCTTGATGCTCTTTCCTTGCACCTGCAATCATGTACCTTGCACATAGGAATGATGCTTCTCGTTATTTTAATTAACTGTAATAATAAAACAAGTGCTAATAATAAGTTTCTCATTCCTTTCAAAGGTTCAGTGCAAACCCTTTGCTAATTAAATATCTAGCACATTGCACACAATACTGCTCTCAAACCACAGAGGCATGAATTCCTGCTGCAATCTGCCTCCCTGCTGGTGGTCACTGGAGGAGAAACTGGGGATGAATCCAGTGCAATGTAAAATACAACTGCTGATTTTTATGGCCATTTGCCTATTTAATATTCTTTGTTTTTAAATACATCTTCAAGGGAAACTCGGAAATTTTATGGTTTCTGATGAGAAAATTTAACTTAAACCTTGGTAGGAACTGGGAATGTCTTTTTGTTTCTAGGTTTTTCACTTGTTTTCCAGGTGTGTTGTTTATACGGCTAGAGTTCATAATGGGAGTCAATGCTCCAGGGCATTGTCTGACTTAAACCCAGTTTTATTTCACATCAGCCAGTATTTCACCTAGGCAATATGGACTTCTTGGGATTTTTAGGGAAGGTAAAGTTACTTATCTCACCCCATAGTCTCTGTTTAGAACAGGTCAGAAGGAAGATTAAGTATGATGTAGTCCTTCCCCTACTTATACCCTGTTGTTCAGGGTGATTAGACCCTCAGAGATGGAGTCTGCTTCTTGCTCATCCGCCACAAATGAAGCTGAATCTTTGCTTTTGGCTCCTTCAGAATGTGCCTGTGAGGTTCTGAGGCTCAGGGCTGGTTGTTGCAGAGCCAAGCGCTTGGCTTGCTGAGAGATCCTGATCTGTACCTTCAACCCAGACAGCTTTTCCAAACCATCTGGATTTGTCTGGCAGATGCACAAGGTGTGGGGACTGGAGAGCTGAGCTTAGATACACTGCTGCCATTGAAGTGCAAAGGGAAGGGTGGAGAATGTGGAAAGCAGCTCCCATCAATGAAGGTGGGCTTGGAATGATGCTAAAGATAAGGAGAAGAATAACAGTGGAAAAACACCAAGACACCAGCACATTTTGTGAGTTTTAAGTTTTAATATCACATCTTTGGTACTGGAGACAGAAGCAGGAAATCAATGGATTGAAACTC